TTTTATTTTATTTTTATTTTTACGTTTTGCGCTGTAATTTTCTTTTAATTTTGGTTGCTTAGGTTAAGAACATGCGTCTGCAGCAGCAAGTTAAATATATATGGAAAACAAAAACAACATTTATATTTAGCAGGAGTTGGAGCCGGGGTGTACTTACCTAACGACAACCGTGTTTAGCAGCAGACAGGGCGCCAGCATTGACCTAAATATGTGCGTAATGCGATCGGCCGAGGAAGTTTTACGCCTCGATATGGCAGCCATATTGTCGCCTGGGCAAGTGAGAGAGAAAGAGGGAGAGAGAGAGAGAGAGAGAGAAAGATAGAGTGTAAGAGAAATGTGAATTAGATTTGACTCCTTGTTGCTGTTGTTGTATATGGCAATAACTGGCGACAGATACTCTGCATTTTCATTAACATTTTAATAAGCTGCAGGCGACGCGCGCTCGCTCGCTCGCTGCAAGCATTTGCATATTTTCATTTACACTTCTTATCGCTCGCGATGGCTATTTAAATGCTAAAATCACAAGAAATTCAATTTGGCCGCGAGGCAGTCATGCAAATTGCATGCAACTGTTACGTGCAACAACAATAACAGGCTATGCCACCAGCTCTGCCCCACACTCTCCTTAACAATTTGCACGCTAAGCAGCTGCCCTGAGCTGAGCTGCATTAGCAGCTGAAATGGCAACGGCAACGGCAATGGCAGCTGTAGCTGCTGCAACAGCTGCTAAATCCCCGCTCAGATTTCATGATTTCACGATTTCACTCACCTTTTGATACAAAGACATAAATGCTAGCTGGCTCGGTGTTGCTGGCGGAGCAGGTGTAGTTGCCAGAATCGGTGATTTGGGGCTCCCGTATAATGAGGCGACTCTGTGTGCGTGGACCCGGTGTCGTTTCAATGGATATGTCTCGCCTCGAGTCATAGTAGTTGATGAGACGATCATTTTTTTGCCAGTACACGTACTGCGGTGGTGTGGGACTCTACAGCGGAGGAGATGATAGAGAGGGGGAGAAGGAAGATAAGAAATATGTATAAATTGTATTGAGTATAAGTATAATATATAATGTGAAATATATAATGCGCTACACAAATATATCAGATGAAAGCTGGCGATATTTAATTATTATCGATATTTATCGATAATCAATAATAAATATTTATAAAATGTAATAAGCATAAGTATTATTTGTAATGTGAAATATATAATGCGCTACACAAAAATATCAGTCAATTGCGATATTTAGTTATATTATATGAATTTAATAAAATCGATAATTATCGATAAGCAATAATACCATATATTTAGCTCTGGTATATATTATCTGAGCAATTAACAGAAATCAAATTGATTTGATATATGTTTCTTAACTGCTGGTGGGCTTTGCTTCTTTGTATTTCAATTTTCTGATATGAAAATCGATTTATCGATAGAATTTTTATTACTTATTCTTCCTGTTGTCAAACTCAACTATTATGCATATTTTTTTTATTATATAGAGAACCTTCATTTCGTTCAAGTGAACTAATTTGATTTTTCCGTATTTCCCTTTTGTATATTTCGTTATTTTCTTTTTGCATATATTCGTAATAAGTTCGTACTCACCTTCTCGATAATGCAAACCAAATTGATTGTTGAGCCCATGTCAACATGCAGTTCACCAGAGCCAAGTATGAATGCCTCGGGCACAACCACTTGAAGATTCACAAAGTGCGAAATGATGCCAGTCGGTGTGGATACCTGTGCCCAAAAATAAATACACAAAAGATAGAGTCAAGCAAATAATGCCAAATGCCAGTTGAGCGGGATATTTGGGTGGAATTGTTCGATACGCATGTTCCGATGCTTAAGCATTTGTCGTAATCAACTCGAATGTTAATGCTGTGCTGCATCTAACAGACTCTCTGTCCCTTTACTTCCCCCCTCTCTCTCTCTCTCTTTCACTATATCAATATCTGTCGATCTAACTGGCTTTGGTGCAGTGAAACGTTTTGACTGCAAAGAAATGTTGCACTCATTGAAATGCAAATCAAACAATTTCAATTTGGCACGCAAAATGAAACAAAAACGAACCATTTTCAATACATATATATATATGCATATACATATACATATATAGATATATATGTATGTATGTTGTGTATATAAGTATATGTAGATACGAACAAAAGTAACCAGAGGGCAGATGAACGAGCTGCACTGCAAAAAGGAAAAATAATCATTTCGGCATATTTGCATGCAGTGCTCGTCGAGAGGCAGCACCAACTGACAGACGGACAGACGGACAGACGGACAGGCGGATAGAGCTCCTCTGTTACCCTTGCTGCGCTAGCCTCGGCCTTATATTGAAATTGCATGCAAACAATTTTTGAAATTGAAGCTACTTTTTTTTCGAGGCTGCCCCAAACTACATCAGTATCTCGCTCTCACTCGCTCGCTGTTTCTCCATGACTATCTGCAACCTCTCTGTACTAGTCTCTACTTAGCTGTAAGTCTCGGCGCAGCACTTGTGCGGCTGCTGCACAAACAGAGTTACTGTCAAGTGTCCGTTTCAGGCGTTGCCCAAACTTTGTTGCCTTTCGCTTAGTTCAGTCCACCGACTCGACTCGACTCGACTCCACCATCTGTAGCCAAGACACGCCTCTTGCCATATCCGCTTGACTTTGGGGCTTTTGTATGGCTGGCTGGCTGGCTTACTTTCTGCATTACTTTGCACACATTCGGGGGGGCTTGCGTTTCAGTCAGTGGCTAAATATGTCAATGTCCAGTTTATCTGGCAGCCGCAGCGTCTGGCAGCGTCTGGCAGCGCTTGACAGCCACATGGTTTCGGCTGTGCCCTGTCAACGTCACATGTGCTCTGCGTGCCATGCGTACATGCAGCAGGTTGTCTTAAAACGAAACGCATTTGCATATTACAATTAAATCATGCGCCGGCGAAATCAACGTAAAAACCAAACAACAAAATGAAAAAATGAAAAAAAAATGAATGAAATGGGTTAAAAAACCCAAAAACCTCAATATTGCGTATACGCCGGGCTGTCTGGGTCCGTACGCCAAAATGGAGCATATGCAAATGCACTTTAGTTCATTTCAACTGCATTGCATGCATAAAATATATGCAATTCCAATGCATGCTCTCTCTCATTCACTCTCTCTCTCTCTCTCTCTCTCTCTCTCTCTCTCACTCTCTTTCTCTTTCGCACTCACCTGGCACTCGTACATGCCGTGATCCCGTCGCTGTACAAACTTTATCTGCAGCGTCCACATGTTGGAGCCGGGCGAGTGGAGTATCGCGAAGCGTTCATCATTTGTGTAGAGCTGGGCGCCCGAGGATAATATGTGCCAGTCCCGGCGACGTATCCAAGATATTTGATTCTGTTTTGCCCAACAACAGCAAAATGTGAGAAAATTAAATACAAAATTCAATAAAGAACGCAATCACAATCGCACATCCCATTATTGTCTATGTTAATTGCAAGCGCGCTCGAAAGTAGGCAACAGAAAAAAGAAAATTTTCAATTCACTCGCAATACAAGTGCATGCAATTAGCGCGGCGAATACATTACTTATATTTGATTATGGGTATTTTATAAATATACATGAGTGTGTGTGTGTGTGTGAATTGCAATTTTAGGAGAATGTTTTGCAAATGCAAGCTTAACAACAGGTTGAGTTGCTTTGAATGAGTTTAAATGAAAGCTTAAATATTTTAAAAATTTATGAATATGAGAGTGTATAATATATAAAGAGTTTTGTTTAAAGGCAATWAAAATAAGTAATTATAAAAGGAAAAAGAGTCTTGATATATTACTCTAGCCTGTTTAAATAAAAAAAAAAAATAAATAAATAAAAAAAAAAGATATATTATTAACGATCAGCATAAATAAAATAAATAAACCAGTAGGAGAGCCCTGGGTAACATATTGAAGCCTTGCTAGAGAAGTTCTAGTCATAGGAAGACCTACGGTAGAGACTCTCTATTCCTCACTCTCTACTATATAAACGTTTTTTTCGTTTTTCTTGATAAATTAATATTTCATTGGAATCTTTCTGTGAGCTCTTTCTTCAATGCTCAAATTTAAATTAAGATATTTAGTAGGCTACTTTTAGCTATATAATAAAAATTCATATTT